AGTAGAAACCAAGTGCACTTCTTCCATTTCAACTTGTGGTGGTGTGTTACTCTGTTCCTCAGGATTTACATTTCAGTCGATCTCTGCTCCCACAATTTCCTCCCCTTGCATTTCCGTGATGATCTGTGACAATTAACAACCCAACTTTTTTCTGAGTTTTTTTTTTTTTTTTAAAGGTTGAGGGCTAATTCGGGGGTCAAGCAAGACTTGCAAGCTGTCAGCCTTTTATTGTCTCTTAAGTCCCCCCTCCTCCACTCAAGCTCTTTATTCTAGGTCCCCCCTTCATTCTCTTGGACCCTGTTTTAGAGAATGGTCCAACTCTTCTTCTATTCTCGTGTGACCCTCTAACAACTAGAGATGGACAACTGGGAGCTTTGTCTTAGAAGCCTAACATTCTTTTCACATCTGCCTCTTGTTTTCAGACCCCCCCACTGCATTTAAATTTCAAACTGTCCTGAATCAACCTTCCTTCCCTCCCCACTAATAGCTCCCTTCCTCCCAGTTACTAAGCCTTTTATTTTCTTTCTCTTAAAAGGACCAACTGCTTCCTACTTTTGCATATTTGACACTCAGTTGTTGACTGTAAACCATTCTGTTGTATTGTGAGTATATGGAGCGCACATATGTTTAAAGCCTGTGGGCCCACGCCCCTGTGGCTTCCCAATTTCTCAGGGTACTTAAACATCTGTCTGGGCCAGCTTCATATTTAGCCCGAGCTGTGTGTTATCTGCCGCCATCTTACTAATCTGTGCTTAAAAATCACAGAACATTGGCCACTGGTCATGTGTGCAATGAATAACAAGCAGTGTTGTTGTCGTCGGTCCGCTTCCGTCTGTTCAGAAACTCCAAATACAGCGGCGCATTGTTACCAGAGACTAAACTTGTTGTGCAGTTTCACCTAAGTCGCTGGGCATACAGAAAGCAAGCTGAGGTGGGATTGCCGGCAGTTTTCTGTTATGAGGCGGAGAGACAAAAAAGGAGCCCCCAGCTGAGAGGGGAGACCTCAACTCATTTAATGAGGAGAACGGCAGTCAGGCAGTCTCCCCACAGCCTGCGCCTTTGGTGTCTCAGCATGTTAAACACTCACAGCATGAAGCAAAATATATTAAAGTATAGGACTGTTATCGTCAATTTACACAACACCCCAACCCCCCCACCCTGTACAAGGAATCTACATTCTGCGTATTTCTCGTAGCAGGGGGTCTCTGCAGGCTTGGAAGACAAAACTGTCAAAGGCATCTCGTCTTTTGTCTTCACATTCCGACACATGACTCCTGTTGGTTGTGCTTGCTTTTGTTGCTGTGCAGTGATGACAAGGCAGGAGAAAGAATAATCATACTGTTTCAGCACTCCTATCTCAGACTGAGCCTTAAAATGATTGTTTATGTATAAATATGAACACCTTCAGCCACTGACGCAAACAATCATCCAAAGACACAGACTAAGCTTTGGCCATTATGAGATCAAACTGATAACCTTGAATGAAAAACACATGATCTAACTGCTTGTATTTAAAACCAAAAAGCAACTATTCTGCTTACTGCTGCAAAATTCTAGCAATTTACTGATTATTATGGCTTGATATAAAGAACATTTTGTTGTTTCTGTATTAGTTTTTGACACATTGTCGAAGATGTGTGACAAAAGCATTTTTTTTTTAAATACTGGCATTAAATTTCCACAAAATAATGATTAAAATTACTCTGTTTTGAACCACAAATTAACTCAACCAGTGACTGTGGTAAATCCACTCACATTTAGACATCATGTGGAAACAAAGCAAAATATTTTAGTTTTACGAAATATACCTATTTATGTGGACAGGGCTTAAATAAATTTACTGAGATATTATAAGCATTATAAGTGAATCAATTTTCTTAAATGTTTTAGTCACAGCTGAGCTGTTAAGTAGCTCATGCTTAATGGAATATTTTTACATTAAGCAAATTTTATTATACAAATTTTCAGCTAATTTGGGTAGAATGACTTTATACTTTGTGACTTTTTTTTAAGAGACACCTGAAATACACATTTGTGCTAGTTTTAACTTGAACTGTGTGTACAAATAGCTTAAATAATTAATAACTACCAGATTAAGGTGATACAGCAGTTGCTGAAATAATGGCACCATATCTAGGTTGTGGTAGGTGCTTCGAGGTTTCTAGCAAGCAGGCCATACTTCTGGTAGTACCTGCACTTTTAAATTGTACACCAGTTAAAGTATTGGCTTCTGTGATTTTGGAAAAATAATTATTTTTTTATTTGATTGATAAAATAATCATCTCTGCAATAAATTGTCTTATTTCAAATGTTCTTGTTTCAAATTAAGCTTCTTAGAATGTACTTATTAAATACATAAGAAAACTGAGCACATATTATATGAACCAAGTAAATATTTTAGTTAGAGAGGATTTTCAAAATATATCAGTTTATGCGAGGAAGCATAAGGATTAAATTGGATTATCATCATTAGGTACATATATTCTAATCTAAGAACAAAACAACAGGCACTAAGACTTTGTGCCCGGATGAGAACTCCTAATCCTATATACTGAGTAAAAAGCCTTACTGTGGAGACAATCAGCTTAAGGTCTCATTATAACGTATGGCCCGTGAGTGTGGGCAGTAGCCACTTCCCAGATATATTTAATTGGTGCCACATGCTCTAATAAAAAGCAAGTGGTAGAGTTTTGTGGCAATCCAATATGTTTGGTCTCTGTGATCAGCTTTCATTTGTCAAGCCTCACAACTGCACATTATTCCTCTGAAACTAAATACGCTGTGGCCGCGTGTGTTCTGCTCCTGTTAACCTCTCTTAATGGCTCTAAAATTAGAGGTCTCAGGTGAGGAGCAATGTCATACCAGATGAACTGATTATGGCAGGTTTAATTATAACTTTGGCGGCAAATGCGTGCGCTCCGCATGTTTTCTCGCTGATGAATTATTACGATGCCTGAGAACTCAGACAAAACAGATCAAGGAGCCTTCAGGCGCTGGTTATCCTCCAGCATGGAGGTGACAGCTGAAGCTGATTTGTGCGGTTCTGACTGTACATAACAACACAAATCCTCCCTGTCTTCTCTGTTGAGTTTTTCTTTTTTCTTTTACATTTGCCGCTAGTGTGAGCTGTATAAAATTTGCTCCCTCGAATCTTAAACAATCGCAAGCTGTAGACATACAACAAAACAAACACAAAAAAAAAAACAGAAATGGTGTTTTTCAATGTGGAAAAAATAAAAAGAGAAAACTGTTTCTAATGGGGTCCTGTGTGCCTTGTTGCCCGAGTGATGCCACATCCCATGGCGAATGTGCTAATGGTTCATGGGAGCAAGAGGATGGAGCTTAACCCAGCGGTGTAAACACACAGACAAAAGGGAGCCGTTAGTAGTGTGAAACACATGCCTGGGCGTGCAGGTAAGCATTGGGTTTCACCACACATGGCTCCACCACTGGATCCATGGTGGGGAGGAGGTCATCTGCTTTTGTAGCGGAATGAGAGCAAAACAAACTTTCAGGCTTATACTACCGAGACAGCTATGGATGAGGTGGGAAGGGGAGGAATTCTGGTTTGGAGAAATGTCAGCGAGAAGGGCGGGGGTGGTGAGGGTATAGATTGGAGAGATAAAGTGGTTTGTGGTCAGTCTCGAGACAGAGAAGTGACCATTTGTTTGGCAGTGTTTTGTTTATTTGTCTTGGGCACGGGGGAGGAAACGGGCAGAAAACTTAAGGGTAGATGAGAGTGCTCTTACTTTTTAACCTCTATTGGAAGTGAAATTCCCCTGTTAGATCCACATCAAGAATTCACATGAATAAATCCAACTTAGGTTTTAGCTTTTTTTTTTTTATACCAAAGTGCTTTTTCAACTTTGTTTACTTTGGAGAGTAAATCATACACTTTGCATACTATACATTTTTTCCCATTTTTGACTTCATTTTCCTTTTTTTAAAAATCAAAATAGGAAGTTCATTTCAGTTTATAAATTATTTGGGCAATCTTTTTAGGTACTTTGCAGTCAAGTGCTTAGCAGATGTGTCACGTGTGGCTTTCTAGCACTAGTTTTAATAAAACCGTGAGACTGCGTTGGTTTTCAAACTGTAACTGTCAGGGATTTTTGTGACCATTTAAAATATTTTCAAACATCAGAAAATATTCAGCTGTTAGAATCTTGCTTAGCATGATTCCACGAACCAGTCCATGTTTTTTTTTTTCTTTTTTTGTACTGTGGGACTGTAATATACATAAACTTTATGTAGGAATCATGTAGGAACAGTGCTACACAGTTGGTAGCACTGTTGCCTTTCAGAAAGAAGGCCCTGGACTGATATCCTGACAGGATCTTTTTGCATGGAGTTTGCATGTTCTGTCCTGTGCATGTGTAGGTTCTCTACAGGTACTTCAGCTTACTCTGACAGTCCAAAAACAAGACTGGCTATTTTGCCTCTCTAAAATGTCCTTAGGTTTGAATGCCTCTCATACCTGTGTGTTTCTATGTTGCCCTTTGTACTCTGCCTCCTGCCCAATAACAGCTGGAGATAAGACCAACCCATTCACAACACCAAAAGCAGGACTAGACAATAGGTGAATAGATATTTTCTGGAATTGTAAAAAAAAAAATAAAAAATACACATATACATATGTTTAATGAGGTTAGTATGACTTAGCTATTGCTCATGAGGGAATGGACAGGGTGGAGCACATCTGTTTCAACACAACAATGCCTGCTCTCACCCTGCTCCCCCATCCTACTAGTGAAATGTTTAGTGTTTAGCTGCCATTAAGGGATTTCTCTCTTGAGGATTATTGACCTTCTGGGCTTATTTTAGTGGTGTGCGTGGGTTTGTAGCATTTCACAGCTTAAGGTTTGTCACATCTCTTCATTGGAATGTGAATGAAACATCAAGGGGCTTCAGAACGCGATTGTATTCCTCAGGGGCAAAGCACACGTGTGGACTAAATTTCATAACTGAACTAAATGATGTCTTTTTGGCCTTTGTTGCAGGGAAGAAGATCGATAATGAGCATCTCTGAGACCAGTTGGCTTGGGCTTTTCTGATCAGAAGCTGTTACCCACAACACTAACCTGCCACAAATCATCAATACTCAGCACCATGGCATGCAGCCTGCGGACACTACACACCTTTTGCTGGTTTCTCATCACTCTAAACCAAGTACACTCCACAGAGGGTAAGTATATCAGAGTTTTGTCTTTGCTGGCTTCTTAAAATTATACTGACTTATCATGTCTTTTTTTTTTTTTTTTTTGCTCTGAATAAGTTATATTTCAAGTTGACGCAGCTCCAGATTATTTTATTCAGCTGCCGCATGTGGAAATATAGCATGCAGTAATTCTGAACCAAGCCAAATCAGGCACTGCTTGTGTGAGTAATGCAGTTTTCAGGACAGCGGGCACAGACGGATAGAGGGGGATAATCTTGAGTGGTTTCATTAGTTGTTAAATTGTGATTTGTCTGAGATTTTCTGCTTGAAAGCGTCAGTTGTTCCCAGTGGCATCAGAGCTGGATCTGTTTGTAAATTCCTCGCTTTTTAATGCTCGCCGTCATGGAAATACACGCCGCAGATTTCACACCTCAAAAAACATCAAGCTCAAATGTTTTGTAATCACACTTCATTAAGTTTTGATTAAATCAGTCCTGGCTTTGTTGTAACCGCAAGTTTTACGTGTCCAATGTGTAACCACAAGGTTGAAAAGTAACACACTAAATGTTTTATGATTGAATTTAGAATACTCCGAAGCTGGCATATTTTTTGTGTGTAATGTAAGTGGGGCTAATAAAATTCTGTGTAAAGATGACAGCTGTCAAATCTCTGGCTAAGCCGTCATTTAAGTTCAGTAATCAGAAACTCAAGGGTGCAAGGTGGGGTTTTAACAACACGTCTTATTGACAGTATAGCGAATCGCATTGGCGTAAATTGTAATAGCACATTATGCGCATACCATCTGGATGTCATTTGATCTTTCCTTTTAAAAAAATGGAAACATAATTCTCTGATCTCTACAGGCATCAATCAAATTTGAAAAAACTTCAGCCATAAAAAGCAGCTTTGCTCAGTTAAATGATTTCCATTAAATGTGACAGAATTTCTCAACCATAAAGTTGATCGAATATCAAAGTGTGCAGTATTATATAGATAATTAAAAATAGAAAACCAAGAAATCACATTTCCATGAGTTTTCACAAACTGCCATGGATCTAAAAATCAGCTGTGGTAAATTCAGCTGATTGGACTTGATTAGGAAAGGGACACATCCGTCTATATAAGATCCAACAATTGACAGTGCATATGCACCAAGCATGAAGTCAAAGGCATTATCCTTAGACCTCCAACGCAAGATTGTCTTTAGGCACAATTCTGGGGAAGGATACAAAATCAGATTCTGCTGCTTTGAAGACTTCAGTGAGCTCAGTGGCCTCCATCATTTGTAAATGGAAGACTAAAATGACACTTTCTGCCATACTTGCAAAATGCTTTATGTGACTGAAAACAAACACAGTGATCACATGATTCCCACTATAAAAGATGATGTTGGTAGTATTATTCAGGGCTTCACAATATATAATAAATTGTTACTGCAACTTTACTCTAGGCAATGTACATTTTGCAAATAACTTCAAGTACCATAAAATATGGACTATTATGACTGTAATATACTCTGTAACTTGTTTAATGCAGTATAAAAAGCTTTAGAAAGTAAAGGAAGGGTAAGGTGGTCAAGTCATGAAAAAAATACGAGCTTTTTTTATTGAACAGCAGACACTGGCAAGAAGCAACTTTTTCAGTGCAAACTTGTCAATATGGGAACATTGAACTTTATTGTTTTTAATTTAATATTTTTTTTTTATTGTTGAACATGCAGAGTCTACATGATCCAAAGCAGAAAGACGTCAAGATTTTAACTGTTACTTTATCGCAAGCCATATCTTTAACACATTATTCACTCGTACTATCACATATTGCATGTTTTCCTAATAAGGTGCAGCCCTAATATTATGGAGTGGAGATGTTTTTTTTTATAAGAAGACCGAGAAGATGGTAATAGCCTTTGGGAAAAGAATCGTGCCATTTGTAGGACAATCCTAAAAAAGTTTAAGGCTACAAAAGATTTAAAAGGAACATATCATGAAAATCCACTTTTTTAGCACTTAAATACATTTGTATGTACTTTGAGCATCTAGGAGTGCATTTATTTTCTCCCAGTGCTGTGTAGATATCTTTGTTCTATTTGAGTTATATTTTTCATTCTACTCAATTTTCTCTATTACCTATAACGTTTTCTAGTTTATTAAGTCACTGCATTTGCTGCGGAACTGCTAAGCAGGGTCATGACTTCCAACTAATCAGTTCTGTGAATCTGACTTTTTTTTTTTTCTTGCAGCAATTTTATAATGTCCAAGTTCAGTTGCTCCAAAGTTGCAAGTAGACAAGTGAAAATGTTCGGTTCTAGCGCGCATTAGTCCACAAGATTCCTTACTTCGTCCCTCTTCATCAAAAAGCTCCTTCAAAGCGTCTGGTTAAATTTTATTTTTCTTGAAAATGTCCCCACGATAGTGGGGAAAGTCCCGCTTGTTTGAGCGAAGCACTTAAGGTGGAGTTCTTCAGCAACCTCAGCTAGTATCAAGAGGGATTTTCCAAAATACTTTTTCTGATTGAGGAGTCAGGTCCTTCTCTCTAGGGAAACGAGGGACACAGCAAAGTGGTAAGCTCCTAATGATGCTAAAATGACAGCAAAGCTCATTTTAGACCATGAGTTTTTGTGTGCTGATAATGACGTCCTGGTCTGGTTGATAGCCATCGAGTCTTCTGTTTCTGTTGGTGCTGTGTGTTAGTTTTTAGCTGCCTTTGTGAAGATAAAACTGACCTGCATGTTTGTATTATTTGGCTGTCGGTTGCCATTTTTGTCTTGGCAAACACTTGATCCAAATGCATTTGGTGATGTTCTTGACGTTCCCATTAGCTAACTCCTTAATTATGTCGAGACTTTGTTTACTTCATTCATATTGCGGTAATATTAATATTTTAATAGGTATCTCACATTCATGGATGATGTAATTAAACTGTGCTCCACAATGTAGGTAGCTGGTATGGATGGAGAGGGTGTAAATACAGTAATAATACCATTGCGATGCATTCATTTGAGTGCGTGGTTCTGCAGATTGATGGTCTTCATTCTCCTGCTCTGGGTCAGATTCTGGCTCAAACATGCAAGGCTGAATAGACAAGTCTTTTGGTGACATTTGAAACTTTGGGTTGAAAAATGTCTCTGCCAGTAGATAATTGTGTCACTGCTATGAAACTAGAAAAATGGCAGAATGTGGTGGAGTGGAACGCTCTGCGACCGGGAGGGGGGCAGGGCTCGAACACACGTCTCAGAACAGGGTAACCCAGGGGTTTGTGGCGCCACAATAACGAGGAATTCAGACCAAATCATTGCAGTTCTACTTTTCATAGACCATAAGGGAATGATTTACATGTGAAAAGGATGGATTTAAAAGGATATGTCCACTTTAAGACTGAAGCAGAGGTTCATCTACAAGCAGAACAAGCTATATAAGAATGATTTATTTGTTAAAATCGTGAAAAAACTAAATCTAATTAAACAGTTTTGCAAAGAGTTAATTTTCTTTCCACACTCTCCGTCCAATCTGATTGTGGTTGAAATATTTTCAAAGAAGCTTCAGAGCAGGTAGAGACACACCCAAAACATGTGCAGCTATAATCCCAGAAACAAGGGCATCTATTAAATCAGAGGGTGAATACATACGCAAGCCACCCTTTTTAGATTTGTGTTTGTATAAAAAACTTAAAAACTGTGTGATTTTTGCATCTATTTTCATGAGTATGTTCTACTGCTTTTGGTTTATAATGCACATTGAAATAATGGTGGACAATTAAACCTATGTGCAGGGCCGTGCAGAGACCACTAAAGGGGCAGGTGCTCAAAAAAAAAAAGGGCAAATCTAACCGCCTTCTAG